AGTACCCTAATAGAGTGTGTAAGCTTGAGAAATCCATTTATGGATTGAAGCAAGCACCTCGCAGATGGAATCTTTGCTTTGATGAAAAGGTCAGGGAATTTGGCTTTTCTAGGAGTGAAGATGAATCTTGTGTTTATGTCAAGGCTAGTGGGAGTATAGTCAGTTTTTTGGTACTGTATGTGGACGACATACTACTCATAGGAAATGACATCCCAACTCTGCAGGAAGTAAAGTCCTGGCTTGGGAAGTGTTTCGCTATGAAGGACCTTGGTGAAGCTGCCTATATTCTAGGGATAAGGATCTTGAGAGACCGGAGTAAAAGACTAATTGGACTTAGTCAAAGCACCTATGTGGACAAAGTGTTGAAAAGATTCAACATGCATAACTCCAAGAAAGGTGAGTTACCCATTCAGAGTAATGCCAGATTGAGTAAGACACAAAGCCCTAGTACTGAGGCTGAGATAGCAGAAATGAGTCGACTACCTTATGCTTCAGCTGTAGGATCGATCATGTATGCTATGACGTGTACTCGACCTGATGTAGCCTTTGCTTTGAGCATGGTTAGCAGGTATCAGGGGAACCCTGGCAAGGAACACTGGACTGCGGTAAAGAATATCCTCAAGTACCTGCGAAGGACTAAGGACTGGGTCCTTACCTTCGGTGGGAGTGATGACTTGAGAGTTGTAGGGTATAGTGATGCTAGCTTCCAGACTGATAGGGATAATTTCCGCTCTCAGTCGGGCTGGGTCTTTACCTTAAACGGAGGAGCAATCACTTGGAAGAGTTCCAAGCAGGAGACAGTGGCTGATTCCACTTGTGAATCAGAGTATATAGCAGCAAGCGAGGCAGCAAAGGAGGCTATATGGCTAAAGAACTTCATCGGAGACCTTGGAGTTGTACCAGCTATAAAAGAGCCGATGGAGATTTTCTGTGACAGCAATAGTGTGGTTGCCTTAGCCAAGGAACCAAGAGATCATGGGAGATCCAGACACATTGACAGAAAATATCACTTCATCAGACATCGAATAGAAGAAGGAATCCTCATGGCAAAGAGGGTATCATCGGATGAGAACCCAGCAGATCCCCTCACGAAGGGACTGAGTAGGGTTAAGCATCTCCAGCATGCTCGGAGCATAGGGCTGAAGGATGATATAAGTTTTAGTAGTTAGATAAATTATGAAATTTGTAAAGTGTAATTGACATTTGATGATGAATAAAAGGTGTTTTATTTATGAGTAAAGTGTTGCTATCTCTTGTCGATCGTTTACTTTATTTCTTTTTGCATGTTTTGACTTCCAGAATAATTATGTTTGGTATATCATATTATTCAAACCTCCACAGTCGGTCATATGTCGAAGTAGGTATGAATCAAGACTGTCATGATTGGTTGCAGAGGTCTAAGGTGTTGGACATGGCTACAACAATCATGAGTGCTCATAAGTTCTGAGCATTGGACTCAACCCACGCTCACTGGAATCACTTCATGGAATTCTATCTCGAGTGATCGTGAGACGGTAATATCATATAAGTCTTCAAACCTAGAGATATGATTTGTTACTTACAAGTTGGTTATGCATTGATTGTACGAAAACGCATTGGTAACTCGATGTTATAAAACGTGCTTTTGTGTGTAATTCAATGAGTGGTAGAACAAACATATGAGTCGAAGTTTATCTGTTCCTTCTTGGATTAGAAGTTGATATCTGGGCCCCTCGATGATTTTGTTTTGACCTATGTACCGGGCCCGGTCAGAACTAAATTGATGTGTTCAGTTAAGTTCTATGTCAAACAAATCGGAAATCGGGAAACAAATGCTGGACAATAAGCAAGACCATGTTCCATGTATTTGTCTGGCTGATATCTAGAACAGAGGATTATATGATCACTTATCTTAAATGGAGCGTTCTAGTTCAACAGAGTTTAAAGAGCTACGATTGCTGATCGGTTCCTGAAGTCATACTTGCAACTATAGTTATTAGACTTATCCAAGTAGGAGACTGTTGGATATAGTTTCTAAGTTCATAACTATATTTGGTATGTACTTGACCCGACTCTGCATGGTCCATTTGGGTTGCACTTCACCCGAACAATTTATGGATAATATTTGAGAATAGTACAAGTTATGATTTATTAATATATTATAAGTTCTAATATATTAATATAAGATCATATTATTTAATTAGTAGTGATCTATAATTAATCTAGGATTAATTTAGAGATCAAAGATATTACTAATTAAATATGGGCTTCTATATTTATATAGTGTGGGCTAAAGCTTATTTGGAATGGGCTAGGCTTGCATGGAAAAGTCCATGGATACTCCATGGAGCTTTAACCCATGGATCTCATGGAAATGAAGAGACATGGGTTTTAGGTATGTAACCCTAATCCTCCACACTATATAAAAGAGGCTTTGGTTCTTGAAATGATACTAGTTGACACTTGTTGAGGTGAGGGAAAATTTCAAGATAGTAGTGACTATTCTCTCAAAGTTCCAAGTTTGTGGTGATTTGTGATTTCCACTTGAGGCATCCACACTATTGGTGCTAGGCTCAAAAACTCCAAGCAATCAACTACAACTTCAAGGTAAGTATTTCTCCTAGCTTTATTTGATTCATGTTCCCCATGCCATGCTAGCTAGGATATAAACCTTGGAAAAATTAATTATTTGCATGTATCTTAGACAAACATAGATCCAAGGTTTATTAGGGTTGCATGTACACTTAGGAAGTGTTAGAATGCTCAAAACCCAACAATAATTTCAAAGATCTTCTCAAAGGAGCTTGTTAGGCCGAAAACTCCTTCAAACTTCTCTCCAAAATCGAATCCATCTCCCAAAGTGAGTTCATACCCTTTTATTGTTTTTACTATGTTTTGGGGGAGGATACAAGTTGCTTTTGTGTTGGATCTTTGTATTTATGCATGCATATGTGTGGTTTCATATTATATGTTGTGATTATGTTATGAAAACATGTTAAACCTTCACCAAACTCGAAATATCTACTAAACTTGGTGATGTTTGTAAACTAAACCACCTTATGTGACTTACTAAGAAGTTGAAAGGATTAAACATGCTAAGGATGTTTAGAAACTAAATAAAACCGTATAAGGGGCCATATTTGACAAATAAACAAAAAGTGAGGTCTTTATACTAACTCATGGTTTTGAGAGGACCAAAAGAGTCATTTTTAGATAAAACGAATCTTTATGATATTCATTGTTTTAAAGGGGCCAAACGTGTTAGTTTTCACAAAATGGGCTTCTATTTGGGCCTTCACGGTTTTAATGGGCTAAAATGGTCAATTTTCATAAAAAAGGGCCTTATTAAGAAATTCATGGTTTCATGGGCCTAAAGTGTGATTTTTGGTCTTTATGGACTTAAAATGTCATTTCCATTAAAATTTGGGCCGAAATGTTACTTCTATCAAAAGTGGGCTGAAAACATCATTTTTACCAAAAATGGGTTTTAATTGTAAGTTTTCAGTCTTAATGGGCCTAAAGTGTCTTTTTAATAAAAAAAAAATGGGTCTATAATGTAAATTCTCAACTTAATGGGCAAAGAATGTCATTTTCAACAAAAAGTGGGCCTTTTATACCATTTTAGTGAAAATTGAGCTAAAAAGAAACAAACGGGCTAATTACGTTATTTTCACTTCTATGGGGCACTGTATACACATTTCATGTTTATTGGGCCTTAGTGACCAATTTACATATTTATTGGGCCCTGTATACACATTTCATGTTTATTGGGCCTTAGTGACCCATTTACATATTTATTGGGCCCTGTATACATATTTCATGTTTATTGGGCCTTAGTGACCCATTTACATGCTTATTGGACCACACATACTCATTTCATGTTATTGGGCCTTATAGGTCCATTGGTTTTCTATTGAGCCTCCCGACACATTTTATGTTAATCGAGCCAATAACGAACAATACTTAACACGTTGATAAAAACAAATGGTATTTATTCATCAATGTTTTGTAATCAAATGATACTCGAAACATTACTTTAAAATAGTAAACAATGTGATACTCTATTCGCGTAAATTTAGTTAAGGTTCTTGTGAGACTAGACCAATAATGGTTGTAAACATTGGCCTAGGCGGCCGATTAATCGGTGCCTAGGCATTTGGCGGCCTCCAACCACTTACGAATAAGGGTTAAAGGGTAACATAATCGGCCTTTGACAATATCGGTTAAAATCGATCCAACTCGGTCCAAATCGGACTAAATCGAACCAACTTGGGCTCCTAATTGGGCAAAATCGGTCCAACTAACCATGAGCTCAAAAGAACCAGCTAGCCCACCTAGCATTTGGGTTTGATTTCCTTCGAGCCAATAAATAGGGCCTTCGCCCATATGAAATGAAAATGACATGATGACAAATTAATTGCTCTGATACCAAAATGACATGATGACAAATTAATTGCTCTGATACCAAATTGGAGAACATGACGGATAAATGAAGATTAGGATAAGATTATACCTGAATGATGTGTTGGATTGTCTTGATAATGGATTGTGTTGGATAATTGAGTGTTTATATGGATAGGGCTCTGCTATTCAGAAATAGACAAACTATTTCAACAGAGAAGAACTTTGAGATCAACTCAAGTCTTAAACACTCAAACTTAACTTGTTTATTTCATATGGGCGAAGGCCCTATTTATAGGCTCGAAGGAGCCGGTTACATAATTGATTTGCAATCGTTTGATTGCAAAACGACACACATATTTACATTATAGCCCCCTAGACTATTGAGGGTTACACACTTTATGTTACATCAACCGACACTTAATAATTATCCTACCGACACTTATTTAATTACATAACAATCCTTCTACCGACACTTTACATAATGAAAAATATAATAATCCAAAATATAGTAATCCCTTCCACATTTGAAAGGACAGATGTCTTCAAAAATGGATTGCTTACGTTATTCCTCTCGCCTCCAAAAAAGGCATATTTTTGAATAATGCTTTCTTTCATCGTTAATCTTCCATGAATGGTGTTTCTTCTGTGTTTTCTGAACAGTGACTGCAATTGTGTCTTGGTGCATGCATAATATGTTTACAAAGTTGTTTTTTGATATCAGCAGGTAATTCGGCTAATTGATGAGAAAACTTTTCGAAAGGTTGTTCGAAGGTTTCAATTGCTTTCATTGCTTCTGAAGTGATTTCACTCTCTGTTAACGAATAGATAATGAAAGTTTTACTGGCGTAGTTCACTCTGATTCTTGACTTCTAATTTTTACCGTTGCTTATGTGTGATGATGCTAAATAGACCCCGGGGAGTGCAAAGATTAGGTGATCTTGTGTTGGTGATTCTCGTGGTAGATCATCTTTTGTTGGTTTCGAGCCGTTGCTTACTCCCATGTTTGCGAAAGTAATACTTGGGACAATTAGTTGAGAGTCTTCATCAAAAAATGGGTAGCTAGAATGCATTTTAATGAATAATCCTCGTTCCTGTTTTGCGAATCGTATTTTATAATTTCTGATGATAGTTTACACAGCAGAAGGGAACTCGCTGATGCAGTGTAAATTGGTGTCTTCTAGATAGATGGTGTCGATGAATCCATGAATAAAATAATCCCATAAAGTCATAGGATCTAATAGGTCGGCTAAGAAAACGGGTTTAGGACCTGGGCATCTGGCTATTGGGTAAAAGCCCATCAAGGAATGGACTTCGGTGTATGAAATGAGACTGTCCCATAATTCGGCAAATTTTTTGGCAGATGGTTTTTTCATGGCTTCTTTTTCTTTGGTTGATAAAATGGATTCAAGGGCAATTTTTGCATTTAGCTGGTTAAGGGATCTTGGGATGGATACAGGTTTTTGTGGTGTAAAGCTGGATATAGGTTTTTGTGGTGTTAGGAGTACTGTTTTTGAACGTTCAGCGTTATCTTTTATTACTGCTTTGTATGCTTCGTTGTATGCGGTTTCTGCTTCATTTTTCATTCTGTAACTTTTGTGAATGATATTTTTTCCAAGAATATATGAACTGGTGATTCCCCAATCTTCATATACTACTTTGTTTTCTCCGTTGAAAATTACGTACCATTTCTTTATTTTTTTTATGATCTGCTTGTAGTGGTGGATACTCCTCTTGGTTTGGCGTCATGGTTTGTTTTTCTGTTTCTAGTGCTAATTATGGTTGACTTTCATCAGATGATATTTCTTGGATTTCTTCTTTTGGTTGTTTTGTTGTTGAGCTGTTGGCTGCTTCTTCTTTAAATGCTGAATGGGATGATAGAATTTGTATTGTTTGTTGTAGTTGCTCTTTTTTACGTCTGACTACTTCAAGCTGTCTGATTAATGATGCTTTTTTCTCCTCTTTTTGTTTGAACTGGTGTTTTACTTGCTTCATAATGGCTTCCATTTCAATAGTTCTGCTAAATGAATATTTGCGTCTTTTGGGTACCTGAATGATTGCTGAATGATGTTTGCTTTTAATATTTTAAATGATGATATGAGGATTTTCATATCAATGTATGCTTTGGTGATATTTTCATATCACTGTATACTTTATCATTGTTTACTTTGGATGGTATTTTCATACCAATATATGCTTTAGCAATGTGTACTTTGGTTAAATATGAGGTTTCCCTTATGTTCCAATAATACTTTCTTCATAGGACTATTTACCTGAATTAGAATCAGTATCAGTTGTATATGCATAAATGTCTATATCTGAATCAATTCCTGAGTCTTCTATAGGTTCATACCCGAGATCATATGCAATTTTTAATAAGTTTGTTTATTTCTCTTTTATAGTCTTTTTTGGACATTCGTAGGCTTTGTGTCCGTCTTCTTGATATATCCAACATTTATAGTCTTTTTTATTAGATGGATAGTAATTTGTGTTAGATTGATATTTTTTTTATATTGTTTTCTGTCTCGAAAATATTTTCTTTCACCTTGTTTATAATATTGTTTATATTTAGGTTTATAAGTTTGTTTTTTTCCAAATTTTCTTTTTATATTTTTGTTTTTATTATATTCACAACATAAATCAATTCTTGCATCTTGTGTTGTTTTTTGTTCTAAACATTTTTTCTGCATCCATGCTTTTAATATACTTATTCTTGCTCCTAAGGTATCTGCAATTTTATTTTGTTGTAATGTTTCTTGGAAATCTTTTATTACACTTTGACTTACTAATGATGGTAATTTTTGGTAAAACATGTCTAATGCTATCTTTTTTCTAGTAAAATCTAGATTGTAATAATGTTCAGAATATTCACATATAAATGGGTTTAAATAACACATGTTACAAATTCGTAAGTTAGTTAGATGTCATAATGATTCTAATTGAAAAGCTTCTTGAGATGTTTTATCTTCTATTTGTTTTCCTATGAATTCTTGAATAAGTCGATTTAATACATTTTTAAATGTTTCCATAGTGTCAGTGGTCGCTATCATCATCGTCTCAGTTTCATCGAGAGATGAATGGAAACGATATGCATTGCCTTGTGTTTTATGTATAATATAATTAAGAAAAATTTTTGAATGTAGATTTCTTAATTCTTCAGTTAGTTGAATTTGAATTCCCATTTTATTACTCCATTCTTGAATTTTTGCTTCAGGATTTTGCTCACAATCAATAAAAAGAATATCTGAATTTGTTGGAAAAGTAAATAGTTTAGGTATATATTGTGGAGGTATTTTTTCCCATTTGTTTTGTTTATTTTTGACCATTCCTTGTCTATATAAAAAAATTTTCTCTAACACATAAGAAACACCATTCATAGAAGATTAACGATGAAAGAAAGCATTATTCAAAAATATGTCTTTTTTGGAGGCGAGAGGAATAACGTAAGCAATCCATTTTCGAAGACATTTGTCCTTTCAAATGTGGAAGGGATTACTATATTTTGGATTATTATATTTTTCATTATGTAAAGTGTCGGTAGAAAGATTGTTATGTAATTAAATAAGTGTCGGTAGGATAATTATTAAGTGTCGGTTGATGTAACATAAAGTGTGTAACCCTCAATAGTCTAGGGGGCTATAATGTAAATAAGTGTGTCGTTTTGCAATCAAATGATTGCAAATCAATTATGTAACCGGCACCTTCGAGTCTATAAATAGAGCTTTCGCCCATATGAAATAAACAAATTAAATTTGAGTGTTTAAAACTTGAGTTGATTTTAAAGTTCTTCTCTGTTGAACTATCCAAACTATACATATAAACATTAAATTATCCAATACAATCCATTATCAAAACAATCATACACTTCATTCAGATATAATCTTTTAATAATCTTCATTTATCCATCAAATTATCCAATTTGATATCAGAACAATTAATTTGTAAAAAAAAAAGCTACCCACCTAGCATTTGGGTTTGATTTCGTAGGGGAACCTAAGTCTCCTTTTATAAGATATGTCTGCCTTCATTTTTTGTCCCACCAGCGATGTGGGATGCCAAACTTGTAACGTTAATTTCTTTTTCACAACTCCATCGATGTGGGATGCCGACGGTGAAGCATGGGAATATGATTGCTTTCATACGAATTGACATCACTCGAAACATGAAATTGTCGACTCCTTTCTTCTCCAAGCTGTGGACTCATCTTCTCCGACGACGCAACAATTTCTATTCACCTTCACTTCAAAGTCGGAAATTGGGACATTTGAGGTAAATTCGAAAACTCACGGGAACTCCGATTCATCTTCAATTCCATATGAACTCTGATTCACATTCAATTCAAACTCATTCCATATGTGATTCCATTTTCTGCTAGATCGAAGGCGAAAATTAGAACTCTGATTCACCATCTGAGGTCTGTGTCCCGATTATCAAGTCACTTATCAATTGGTTCTTCATTTGGGGTGTGAGGTATGTGTCTCGATTGTCACAAACCCCTTGAATCTGTGACGTAGGTTAGTTCTTCAATCCATGATGCAAATTGTAATGGAACCCGTGTTCATGGATATATCAGGTATTATAACGGGGTAGTGTAAATGAATTGATGTTTGTATTGTAATTGAATCCATCACAACAGGTGCACACAAACTGTTTGATATTTTGTCTTAGTGAAATTTGATTCACATTCCTTGTTTAATTGAATGATTAGCGATTATAGGGAGGGTTAATTGGAAGGAACATGCACTGACTTGTTTAATTCTCCACTTCTGCTTGTTTAATTTTGCGATTTGAGTTCTCCTTCAACCACTTCACCTTGTTTAATTAACTATTAAGTTGTTTTGTAATTTGAGTTATCCACCCTATTCACTGTTAATTTGATTGATAATGTTTGGTTTATTGTTAATGTGTTAATTTGTTTTTAATGTGTTAAGGTTCCAATTGAAGGTTAGTGTCCAATTCTAGGTCTTTGAAACAAATCAACCAAAGAAGCCAAGATAAAGAACAAGAAAGAAAGCTTCTAAAATTGTTCTTGTTCCCTCAACATTCATAATGCAGTAGTTAGTTATTTAGATGTGACGTATTAAGGATCAAAGGGGTTTTTTGTAATCATAATTTCATGTTATAATGTTATATTTATTAATTTTTCATTGATATAATTTTATATTTATTAATGTTATATATAATGTTATATTCTTAGGATTAGTGCTATATTTATTAATTTTTTAATAATTAATGGTCTGGATTAATTCCCTGATTAATCTCTGCCTAGCCGATTAATCCCTTGACCCAGTCCACCGTCGAGCTACTGTTGAGCGCTTTTTGCAACCTTACCTTAAACAAGTCCACGCCTAAAAAACGTCATGACAGACCGACCAGTCATATCAAGCATGGTTATAACGACTCACATAGAAATTAACAAACACTATACAAATTTACAGAATACATATGCGATACTTTGATACACGTGCGGGCTATTTATTTCTACAACACCTGGGTCTTAGGGTTTTAAGACCATAATACTTTTACAAGCAGAAAATATTGGATTTTCTAGGAAATTTACATTATACATTACCTTCTACTTACAATAGAAAATATAGGATTTTCTAGAATACCCTCGTTATACATTCTTAAAACAGAAACACACATACTTTAATACAAGATTTGACACAAAACTTTCAAACCGTTTTTACAGAAAATATCGTATTTTCTGGTGTTTACAAAGTAACACAAAACTTTTCATACAAATATGCTTATGAACTCACCAACATTATATATGTTGACTCTTTAAAAAAAACGTTATATATGTTAATGTTTTAAGAATAACTTGTCTTCTCAGGAACACGATAAGCAGGTTGGTCATCAAGAACTTGTGGAATGTGTAGTATCTTGTTTCTATCATGCACTTACTATTTTTAGGATGTAACTTTTGTAAACAATTACAAAGATGTAAACCCAGTATGTGTGACAACCCAAGTTGTCCCTTTACATTTCTCCGTTACCGTTAACGGAATTTTCCACTGTTCAAAAGTTCCGTTAATAAGAAGCCGTCAAATTTAATAAACATTTCAATTGTGTATGTTTATATGCCGTTAATTCGTGATAAAAGGAAATAAAAACACAGGACACATATTTCCATTTATTTGGAAAATGTCAAGTTTTATTATTACGACCACTAAATCGGGTGCAACCAAAAGCCCCGTTTAACGGCAGTATCGGGTAGAATTCCACTGTGCCCCGACTCAAAACCCTATATAAGGGTGAGTGGAGTCTATTGGTGACTCTTTACACTCTCTCTCTATACTCTCTCTCTCTAGACCCGTTTTCGCCCCGAAACCGCAACCAAACGCTTCCAAATTGTAAGTCCGCTTACCCTAGCTTATTCTAAACATATTGATTTGTGTTTATAGCCCAAAAATCAGACTTAGAAGCAATGGAAAAGGAGTTTACGGCCTAAGAACCTCCTTAGGCCGTAAACACCCAAAACAAGGCCAAAATGACCCAAACTTGTCCCTAATGGCTTGGAAATAAATTGAGGTATTAGCCTAGGAGTGTTTAAACATTAAAACTCATGGATTTGGGGGGTTAA